AGGCATCCTTATCTTCCTTATGAATTAAAACTACATTAGCCTGTAGAGATTCTCGCCTCATTTCCATCTCCCCCCCCCCCAGGGCATTCATGTATATCTTCAATTTGGGTATTAACAGTTCTTTATATTTTTTATAGTATCTCACAGTATACCCATCTGGCCCCGGGCTTTTCCCCGCCATAGTACTTTTTAATGCTGTTTTTATTTCTTCTAATGTAATTTCTGATTCTAGGGAGTTCGATTGTACTTCACTCAGTTTTGGTAGGCCTGCGTTTTTCTTCTTTTTTCACCATTTACTATTTCAACTTTATTTATAGTATCTTGGGGGATGATATTATACAGCTTACTATAATATTCCTTAACTACTTTAGCAATGTCTTTAGTTGAGTGAACCACTTCACCCTTGGGGTTTCTTATTTTTTCTATATAATTCCTATTTTTCTTTTTCCTTAAGGCTCTCATTAAGTACTTTCCCGGCCTATCTCCCCATCTATACCTTTCACTTATTACTTTATTAAAAACTCTTCTTTTTTCCTCTTCCATCAAGGTCTCTATCTCTTCTTTCTTTTTTATCTTCTTCATTATGTCCTTAGATATTTTACTTTTATGCACCTGTTCAAGATCGAATATTTCCTTTGGAAATCCGCTAATTTTTTCCCCCCCCCTTTCTTTTTTCTTTTTTGCCCCCATTGCAATAAGTAATCCCCTAATGTAAGCCTTATGAGCCTCCCACACTGTAGCCACCGACACTTCTCCCGTATCATTCTCCTCAAATTGTTTGATTTCCATCTCGATCCTCTGATCAATCTCATGATCCAAAAGAAGTGCCTCATTCATCTTACAAACTAAGCCTCCCTTCACCTCTCTTCCCCATCTTCATTTTATTGCAACAGGGGCATGATCTGATAAAGACCTTACTTCAATTTTAGCTTCTGCTACAGACTCTATAAATCGGCGTTCTATCAGTATATAGTCCAATCTAGAGTATGTCTCATGTGCATGTGAGAAGAAGTTATAGTCTCTGTCTTTCATGTGCTTAATTCTCCATATATCTACCAGTTGGCATTCATGTAACAACTTCTTTAATCTCAGAGACCTACTCTCCTCCCTCTGCACAGAAGATGTTGTATCCATCCGCAGATCCATACAAACATTAAAATCTCCAGCCACTATCAGACGGCCTTTTTTAAAACCCATCAGTTCTTTCAATACTCCTTTCAAATATATCTATGGCTTCTTATTTGGGCAGTATATGTTAACTATTGTGCACTCAATTTCTTGCAATTTACCCCTCAGAAACAGAAATCTTCTATTCTCCAACTCAAACCTTATATTCTTTGCGAACCCTATAGCTACCCCCTTTGCTCTTTTAATTGGTGAATCTGCATAGTACCATACCGGGTAATGTCTAGTATTCAGTCTAACATTTGACTTAATCTCTAGATGTGTCTCCTGTAAAAAAAAGCACTTAAGATGTTCTGTGTTGCAACTCTTTAAACAATCTAAAACTCTTCCCAGGACAATACAACCCCTTTACATTATACGTTACTGTACTTCTTCCATATTTCCCTTCTCCTCCAACTCCTTCCCTCTACTGCTACTCTCATAACTCCTCTCAGCTCGCAGAGTGTTACCCCTAATACCCCCCTCCCTCCTTTCTCTCCCCAACCCTACCACCCCCCACCCACCCCCCTTCATCCTCCCTCTTTTTAGGCTTGAAATTTGCCTACTAATCATTTGTGGGCCGAAACCCACCTTTGATTTAAAACCTTGGGGTTGAACTCCGTCCATATACGGCTCTCCTTTTCCCAACCCCCCCTGTACCTTTATCTATCTAGTTCAATAACTTCTCACCGACACTTGAGAGTGAAAACAGCATTTGAACAGAGAAATCATGGAGAGAGAAAGAGAGAGAGAAAAGAAGAGAAAAAAAAAAAAAACAAAACAAAACAAAAAACCCTCTCTCTTCTCAACCATTCCCCTCCCTACCTTCCCCCTATTACTAACTGCCAATCTTCTTTCCCCATAGCCCCTATACCTCTTTCTTCCCACTGGTAACCTTATTCTCTGTAAGTCAAGTCTATCACAAAAGTCTCTCAAGTCCTCAGGAAATCTCAGAATAGCCGTGAGTCCCTTTTTCCATCCAATTAATCTCGCCTGGGCTCCCCATCTATACTGCACATTCTGTTTTCTCATCAAATCCACCAGGGGTTTTAAAGATCTCTTTCTCCATAATGTCTCTGGTGCTGAGTCCGCACAAATTTGAATGTTTATTTCTTCATACTTGATATTTGTTCTTCCCTTAATTTTCTTCCAAATCTCTTCTTTATCACTCAGCCTATGGAATTGGATAATTTATCTCTTGATCTTTCTCTATCTTTTCCTTGTTGGGCTTTTCCTATTCTAAATGCACCGTCCAATTTAAACATTTCTGAAGTAGGTCTGTCCATTATGGAGTTTAAGATTATATTCATTAACCCTTTCAAATCCTCTCCCTGTGGACTCTCTGGGACTCCTCGTATCCTGAGATTACTCCTTCTATCCCTATTTTCTTGGACCTCTATTTTGTAAAGCAATTTCTTTTGATCTTTCCTGATTTCCAGTGTCCGTTTCTTAAATTCTAAGACATTCTGGGCATGATTTTTAAGTTTTTCCTCCGTTTCTTCCACTCTGCATAACAATTGCCCAAAATCATTCCTTATCGTTGCTAATTCTTGCTTTATTGACTTTTCCAAATTTTTAAACATTTCTGCCATCTCTTTCTCATTCGGCACTTGCAATTCCCTTTCAAGTTCTCTCCCCTCCCTATTTTCTAACATATGTTGACTGCCATTGTCTATTCCTAGGGATAGTCTAGGGCTTTTTTCCAAACTGATTTCCAATTCGTTCTTTTCATTTATTCCCAGGGGTCTTTCTGGGGTTACATTCCCCTGAGACGTATACTTTTTAATCGAGCCGGCCTGAGCTCCCTTGGCCCCACTTCCTTTAACATTTTTGTTCTTCATATCTTCTGAAAGACTGACCTCTTATCAGCCGCCAGGGAAAACTCAAATAGACACAGGGAGCACGGATTTAACCTACTATTTTAGTGTCCACTTTATCTTTCACTTTCATTTCTATGGTCATTTATCTTATTCCACATTCTCTTCCACGTCTCCAATCTCCCTAAGAATCCCCTGGGAATCCCCCCTTCTCCATTTCACACACTGTTCCTTCGTGCCCTGCCAAGCCAAGCAATATACAATGATCAAAAGCTGCTCTCACTCACCCTCCTCTTCCTTGCTTCCTTTGTGAGACGGCTCAGGCTGCTTTTGTTAGGCTCTCCAGGCACTTTTCCTTTCCTTAGGGGGGGATTTCCTCAGGGTGTCTCGGGGTACTTGAGTTCTTAGGGGTCTGGCAGGGCACCCGCTTGCCCACCGACTTGGGGTCCAAAAAACTGACCGGGGAGCAAATTGGGAAACCTGCCGCGTCTCTCTCTCTCCTCCAGACGCCGGCTGGCTTCTCTTCCTCCCAGTGCTCCCTTGCGGCGCCCACGTGGTTCACCTCGTTTCCCCGGCAACCTCTCTCCAGGTTCCTTGCTGCAAACCTCGCTCAGCGTCTCAGAGGGAGCAACAGCCGGATCCGCTCTCACCTCCCGGGCACCACCACACCTTCAAGGCCAAGACCCCCTCTCTCACCGGTAAGTCTAGGGGTAGGTGGCAGACAACGCTAAGCCATGGGGGGGGGTTTAGGGTCAGAAGTTTTTTCGGAGAGCACCTACATCGTGCTCTCCGAGGCAGCCATGCTCAGGCCCCGCCCCCAATCCCTCCATCTCGGTTCTGTTAGTGTTAATCACCCACTGCATCCACTGTTATACTAGAAGACAATGAGTTGATTGAAGAGTCTGAAGAAAAAATAAACTACCTAAAGAGTAACTCTACTTTTGTTGGTAAAAAAAAAAAAACAAAAAAAAAAAAAAAAACAAAAAAAAAACAACATTCCCCTCTGAGTGATCTACACTGCGGGGATTTCAATAACCTTTTTCTGCAGATTCCTACCTTTTGTTATTCTGAAGAAATAGCGGTTTGTCTGTGTCTATTTGCAAAACAAATTATCAAAAGGAGTGACTTTTTCATTATTGATCAGCTGCTCAGTTTTCCAATGAGGAAAGTGGCAGGGTCTGAACCCCTTTCAATTTGATTAACCCTTTGGGAGTATGAAATTGAGAGCATGAAAGTGGAGTTACCCTTTAAGCCAAGAGTGATTTCTCTGTAAGGGAGAAGTGATCCATCACCTTGGGCCATTAGGAAAACAATTACAAAGTGGAGTAGGGTTATAGGTGGGACACCCAAGGGTCGTTTCTTCACAAGCCTGCCAGTGTCCAGTCACCTGAATGTACCGGACTATAACCAGGGTCTGTTTATATTTAGCCTGTGTCCTGTACTGTAATATTAAGATACATATTTTATAGTTTTCGATTAAAGTGATAAGATTTTAAATCTTTGTCAGGTTTTTTTCTGTTTTGGTCCCTGTAGGAAAGATAGACCACTGCAATTTGCCCTGGTTACCATTTTGTAGAAAATCCAAAAATTATGCATTTGTTAGTGACACGGGGGTACGAGTGGTAGCTTCTAATAGAAAAACCTGCTCTAGTGACAAATGTCAGATGATTTTCCAGCAGTTTTCACCCTGTGTTTTAGGAAAACTCCTTTCTCAGTCGAAAAAAATCACCTATTTCATAGGCGCATAGTCAGGGTGGAAAAAACACAAGTATATCTAGTACAATCAATAGAAAATATACATAGAATGAATAAACAGAAAACCTCCATATACAGAACCCTATACCCATCTATACCCCCAATCTAAAGTCTATGGGTAGTCTAACCCATAGTAACAAATCAAGTTCTGTTTACTTCAGTCAGATAAGAAAATAGATGAAGCCTCACCACCAGCTATGGATTACTTTACAAGGATATTGTAACTGTAGTCGTGTCACAAGTTGTTATGAAAAAAACACTTACTGAAACTGCACCAGTTACAACTGGAGACACCAGTCGCTTGTTGATAGGTTGGAAAGTTGCAGAGGGAACACTTGCCACTCCAGACACTGTGTTTACAAGAACATTTGCAGTTACTGTTCCTAGGGAAAAGAAAAGTGTATTTGACATTACAAAGCAACATCCACTATAGCAAATTGAAAATTATACTTTTGCTGAAATAGTGAAACAATGAGTGTCGGTGGTTCTACTAAAAGTGACTGGGTCACATTCAAATAAATAAAAAGCCAACTGTTGCAAAGGGCATGCACATATAGGTACTTCATATGTCTGCAGCAACGATAATGCGGTTGTAAAGGCTCAGTTCTTCTTTTTTAAATAACACACTTACCTGCTCTGTGCAATGGTATTGCACAGAGAGGCCCTGAACCTCCACTACTGAGGTCCCCCGCTGATGCTCTAGGCTCCTCCTCTTCTCAGTGCGCTCCCAGAGAAAGCCGCTTCCTATGGTGGTGTAACTGCGGGCTCACTGCTGTGCATGGCTGTGCGTGTCTATTCACACACACAGTGCAACTTGGCCCCGTCCCCTGCTCTCTCCTCACAGAATTTGAGTGACAGAAGCACAAGGCAATGGCTCCTCCTGCCTCAACAAAGCCTGTGGACAGCAGGGAGAGAACAGAGAGATGCTAAAGACAGGTACAGCACTAGATTGAGTGAGGGGGAAAGGGGGACAGGGAACACAAAGCAGTATTAAACCAAAAAGCAAACATATTGCAGCTTACCAATTTTTAGATGTGGTGGTTGCATTAGTTTCCTTTTTAGGCTTTCTTTCTTTTATTTTCCCCTGGTAATCCAGTCAGAAACTCTATTTTTCAACAGATGCAGCAGTTATAAGGTTGTGACAAGCCATTTACCATTGACGGGGGTGCTTACAATGATCAGCTTTTATGTAAAACTCTTTATCCCAAAAGGAACAAAACTGTTTGCTGTAACTGATTATAAAGTGAGAGCTGGAGTTTGGCTTCAATTTGTTAGTGTATCAAATCTGCTAATACATCGAACACTCCCTTTCCCCCAGACTGACAATGCTGCTGTCCAAAAGTGCCCCTGTGCGTCTTCATCCAGAGTGGGGCCACTCTAATACAGGAGATGTGTACAGCCAGATCAACAGGTGAAAACAGAGGGGGAAAAAGCCTAAAAAAAAAAAAAAAAAAAAAAAAAAGGATGCAGACACCACATTTAATAATTGGTAAGCTGCAATATATAAAAATCTTTTTATTTAGGTTTTAATAGTGCTTTACGGTAAAAGAAAATGTCTAGCCTTTAGAGCCACTTTAATTCCATAAACTTTTACTGAAAATGAAAGAACATACACAATATAGCATATATGAGCATACGGTGACATGTGTCCAACATAAGAGACAAAGCAAAATGACAATGAACCCTATGGACATAGTGTTGAGAAGCACAATAAAGAGAAGTGTTTGGGCAAACAATGACATAGCTTATCAGTAAAAATTAGGCAAAAATAATCTTTATATTACGGTGAAAGTATTAGATACAGAAATGCAAGATGAAGTAAAAAAAGATGGATGGACTCACATTTTAAGAAAACATGAAGGGGAGAGTCTGAGTTTAGAGCCACTTTAATTGGTCCAGAACCTCCAAACTCTGGATGAGCTTGTCCATTCCCTAATAACCCTTTTCCCACATTCCTATTGATCCATCACTATGATAGGCTGCCTCACACTGGCCACTAGGAATGTGCGGAAGCTCGTTCACAACAAAGTGTTCAGGCTTTGCAGGCCCCTGCTAGCAACATTAAGTCTACAACTCCGATTCCAAAAAAGAATGCAAGGATTTGCAAATCTTTTAAAACACAAGTTTTATTCACAATAGAAGATAGAAAACATATCAAATGCTTAAAAAAAAAAAAATGTACAAAAATAAAGTCGCTTTGAAACTGATGGTAGCAACATGTCTCAAAAAAAGTCGGGACAAGCAAAAAAAAAAAATCTGACAAAGTAAGTTGTACTAACAAGGAACAAGTGGAAGAACATTTTGCAACTAATAAGGTTAATAGGAAACACATTAGTAACATGATTGGATATAAAAAGAGCATCTTAGAGAGTCAGAGTGTCTCAGAAGTTGGTCCTTTAAAAATTGTCAAATAATTTCAGAATAACATTCCTCAATGTAAAAATTACAAAGGCTTTAACTACTTCCCGCCCGGCCTATAGTAAAATGACGGCCAACCTCTCGTCCCTCCGGTAGGGCATCATATGACGTCCTTCCCGCACCCCGCTTTGCGTGTGCCCGCAGGGCCGTGCTGTGGGGAGACTTGTCACCGGCTGTGTACCTCGGACACGGCGATGACAGATCTGTGTACTGGCCCTGTTGCCAGTACCATGTGACCTGCTGTGACCAATCACAGCAGGTCACATGACAGTTGTATACCATGGATGGCTTCCTTTCATGCCATCCATTGTATACAAGTGTGTCTAGCTGTGAATGGTCACAGTGATCACAGCCAGTCACAGCCCATCTGTATCATGTGATTAGTTGTGGCCAATCACAGCTAATCACAACAAAAAAAAGCTGAATTAATCGATTTCATTCAGTTAAAAACGCTTGCTTATAGCAAAGAAAAAAAATTACAAAAAAAAAATACAACTTCAAAAAAGTCGCCAAGCCTCTTACTAATTACCTCAGACTGTCTACTTTTCAAAAGGGGTCATTTGAGGAATATCTGCACTGTCCTGACATTTTTTATGCCTCAAAAAAAATGAGATGGGCTGGTGTGCGTGCATGTTTCTTTTTTATTACAAATGTCTATATTTTTCTCTTCTTTTAGGCTGGATTCACACTGTTGCTGTGCACTAAAATGCACAGCATTCGACTGAACGGGCTGCATAACAAACAAATGATGCATGCAAGGTTTTTTTGTTTTTTTTACCAATGCAAAGCACCACAATGCACAGTAGTGTATCAATGTGTTTTGTAGTGCACTTCAATGCAAGCACATTGCACTTTTCATGCATTTTCATGTGTTGCTTCAGCCCATCAATGTGAACTCAGCCTTACTCAAAGACCAAAGTCTGAGCAACTTAATATGAAAAAAAACAAAAAAAAACAAACAAAGTGAGCACTACGCAAAAAAACAAAAAACAGGTGGTCAATTTTGTCCAGAGCTATATTCCTCCTATCCTAACTCAAGCTACCTTGGTGATCCAGTGCATGTGTGTACCCATTTTCTTTTAACTTTTGTTTTTTATCCTTCATAAAATTGTGTTTCTGTGATAGACACATCCTCTTTAACTGGTTCTGTCTGGGTACTATTCTGCCACTTTTAGATTAATTGTAATTCATTTTTAAAGTTGAATATATGTTTATTGGATGTTAACAAAAAAAAAAACTCTCCTAGAAGCGGTCTTCCTGACAGCAGCGTTTTTGCAGAAAAAAAAAAACGGCTGACACTTGTAAAAGTATCTAACGCTTTTACAAGCATTTAGGCGCGTTTACAAGTGTGAAGCGCTTGGCTGTTCTTTTTTTGTTTTTTTCTACCAAAACGATGCTGCTTTATTTTCCTGCTGGTAAACAATACTGCTAAAAGCTTCTAAAAGTCTATGTCTGCATGGACACATAGGATAACATAGAGGGCCGTTTGGAAGCAGTAAAAATAAAAAAAAAAATACGCCTGATGCCCCTAAAAGTGGCTGCAAAAACGCCCTGTCTGCACGAGTTCTAAAAGGTTCACATACCCATAAGCAATATGGCATAGAAGTGAACTGATCAGGGTGGTAACATAAATAGCAGTGCAGTTATTATTTAACAGTCAACCAAAGTCAAGCCACTGTCTTAGAAGAACAGATATTGCTGTACTGGAAAATGTACAACATGAGCACTGAGGGTCATGCTGGAGCATCAAAGTCCTTCAAGATATAAACCAGAGGTATACAGTAAAGACATTAAATGAAGGGACATATGAAAATAGAGGCAAGCAAAAAAAAAGGGAGAGAGAAAGAGAGAGAGGGGTACATGCTGTAGCACAATATCCCAATAGAAATATCATCAATAACTAGAGGCAAATGTTATTGCAGAGGGTAAAAAAAAATTCCCAAGCCTCAAAAAGGAGATGGATTGACAAATCTACAGCCTATTTCTTAGGGCAGTAGAGTCAGAGTAGAGAATTCATCCACAGCATTTTGTTTTTAAATTAATAATCATGTCAATTTCAAATTCTATTCAATGTGGTCTCATAATATTTTTTAGGGGCTACACATATACGTTAATCATTTTTAATCCCTTAAAATGACATGCACATCATATACTCGTCATTCAATATAAATGAATTTTTGTTAACTAGTAATAGCTGTAACATTTGCTCTTTCTAGTCACAATTATATTTGATAATCTGTACATTATATTCTTCTTTATAGGGCTACATTTACACCAGCAGCCATCCCTGCCACTCCTTTAAAAAGTGATCTGTGGTCAGAACATGTTTCAGAGGTGTATGAGAGGAGGCGGGGAGCTGAGGTCGTCTCCGCACTGCCGGTTTTAACTCCGTAAATTCCTCACCACTGCACTGCAATTGTTTGAATGGGTTATGTCTGGCACGATACTGCTTGCCAAGTGCGACGGGCATGATTTTTGCTGCAAAGCATTGTGGCAAGTATACACCCCATCCACTGCCTATGCAGCTTGGGGGAGGCAGGGTGTGGGGGTGGCAAAAACGCAGCTCAACAGAAAGTCTAGACAAAGTTTTCATTTTAGGGACAGTTATTTATATAATCTAGATCTCCAGTACATTTCAGTGAACTAAAATCTCCAGTATCCTAAACAAACAAAAATATTGCTTTTTGACAAACAAGTGCAACTTTGAAATACAAAAAAAATTTAAAACTGTAAACTCTGCTGGCTGTAATGCCATTGCATGTATTACCTGAATATAAAAACTTTAACAGTTCACTGTTAATAATGAAAACAAGTATCAAGTAACATCTTTATAAATAAAACCAAGTTTCATAAACTAACAAGAATATTGCTTTTTTGACTACTGTTAATTTTGATGTCAAATTTCTATTAAGTTTTAGTCTCTTAGATTGTAAGCTCCAAGGAGCAGGGCCCTCCTAACCCTCTTGTATTGAACTGTATTGTTGCTGTACTGTCTCCCTTTATATTGTAAAGCGCTGAGCAAACTGTTGCTGCTATATAAATCCTGTATAATAATAATAATAGTCAGTCTACTGACTAAAATGCCATTTTAGTTTTAGTCGTATTTTAGTCATATGAATTGAAACTGAATTTTATTTTCATTTAGTTTTTGTCTCTGAAAACATGCGGCTGATGAAAATATTTTCGTTGACTAAATTAACATTGCTTCTGAACTTATACAGCTCTTCTTAAAAAGAGAATAGTTGTCAGTTTTTTGACCCTGTAGAGGCATGCAATCCATATATCACATACACACAATAGCCAATTCTGAGTTTTGGGGAGTTTTCAGTTGTATAATACAGAAGACTTGTGAAAGGTTTAAAAAGTGTCAGTTATGCAGTAAGGATAACAGAATGAAACTATCCACATGTAAGGACATTGTTTTCTTTATGCTCATTGTCAAAACCTGCTTTAATTAGTTTAATTAGAATGGTCTGCTGTGTACCTAAGGTACATTCAAGGAACTCGTCTTTGACAAACACACATTACAGCTATATCAATGTTTTCCCTCTCTACATGCAAAAAATGAAAATTTACACCAAAACAGCACAGGGGAGAAATTATTCTAGCTTTCACACACCAACCAGCAAGTTACTATGACTGTATACTGACCTGTGGCTATAGTTGTTCCTGGTACTGCAGCCTTGATGGTGCCAGTCTACAACAACATGAAACATTCCAGTTAAACTAGTGCAATGTATCATGCCATAATTCAAAACATAGCAATATCACAAGAGTATTTCCACCTCCATGCCAGTATACACATCAGCTGAAGCCTTTGTAATACTCCAAAACATTTAAAATCTGAATAGAGAATTTTATTTATTTTATACAGCTGTAACATTATGCTGCTACAGTAAAAGATATCTCAGTCAAAATAAATGGTATTAATTATATTTAGTAAATATTTTAAAAAAAAGTGGAGGTCTTGCTCCCCAGGAATGAATTTCTTACAGTGTATGTCGTTTTCATTTGGAGAAACTAGATTTTACATACCTGTAAAATCCCTTTCTTGGGAGTACATCACTGGATACAGAAGGGTTAATTCTTAGATTATTGGGTATGCTCCACCTCCAGGTAACTGGACACTGGAAAATAGCAAAGCTTGAAACCACCCAGCATAATCCCTCTCCCCCACTCCCAGTATTGCCTTAGCTTTATTAAAAAGCAATATGGAGGAAAGACCAAAAAGGAGGGTCCTGTCTCCTCTGATGTACTCCTAGAAAGCGATTTTACAGGTAAGTCACAAATCCAGCTCTCTAAGGCTACGTTCACACTAGCCTTGTGTGCAGGTGGCAGAGAGGCGTTTGGGAAGCGTTTTTACCGCTTCCCAAACGCCTCTGCCAACTCTGCACATTACAGCACATGGTGCTGTTCTAACAGGAGCATTTGCGTCGCGGCAAAACGGACGCCTCTGGTCGAGTCAGGAGGCTTTGAAGCCTCCTATTCTCGTCTATGGTGCCGCTCCGCAAACGCCCGGCCGGCGTTTGCGGTGCGGTTGCGACACGGTTGCGGGGCGTTTGTGGAGCGGTAACACCACTCAAATGCATTATAGGCGTTTGTGGGGCATTATTAACGCTCGGCAAACGCCTAGCAACCGCCGCTAAACCGCGCATGCGGCGTTTGCGGAGCGTTTGCCGAGCGTTAAAAACGCTCCGCAAACACCGGACCAACGCTTGCCAAACGCTATAGGGGCGTTTGGCAAGCGTTGGCAAAACAGCCTAGTGTGAACGAGCCCTTAAAGCGGAGTTCCAGTTGAAAAAAAAAATCCGTTCATCTGTCCTGCGATGTACTCCAAGAAAAGAATGCACAGGTAAACAAAAAAAAAATGCAGAATACTTACATTGTGGCACATCTTCTTCTGTTACAGTAAGGGTTTTATGTAAGATTTCTTTGCAAGGTCCACAGAAGGACCACCCACTTTTTGCAAAAACTGTCTTCCATTGGGTATAGTTTGCACAAACAGCCAAGTGAGTGCAACAAATCGGATTTTTTCTACTTACGTACCCGTAAAATCCATTTCTTGGAGTACATCACGGGACACAGAGCAGGCTATTAATCAAGACCACCATGGTTATTGCACTACCTATAGGTGAACGGACACTGGCTGACCAAAAAACAGACAGGAAGTCCTGCCCTACATAAACCCTCCCACAAAGGCAACACAACAGTTTTATAGCAAGCAATGAACTTCCAGAAGAGGAGAGGGACCTCTGTGTCCCGTGACGCACTCCAAGAAATGGATTTTACAGGTAAGCAGAAAAAAATCCAATTTTCTTTATTGTACATCACAGGACACAGAATAGGCTATTAATCATGACCATCTTGGATGTCCCAAAGCAATACTTTTGAGGGGAGGGGGAAACAAACATCAACCTTAGACATGAATCCTAAGGGCCTACTCTACTTGCTGTAACATGCTAAGGCCAAAAGCAGTATCCTCTGCAGCTCTCAAATTCACTTCGTAAAACCTTGTGAATGTATGCACTGAAGACCAGGTTGCTGCCTTGTAGACCTGCGCCACTGGCGCCTGATAGCGAACGGCCCAAGATGCATTCACACTTCTGGTAGAGTGTGCGCTTAGGAGAAAGGGTGGAACTTTACCTTTCAAACCATAGGCTTGAATGATTAAATGGCAAATACAATGCAAAATAGTTTCTTTGGATGCCACCTGCCCCTTTTTGGGGTCCCTCTGGCAGCACAAACAGGATTTACTTGAGATTATCTGCACAGATCAAAAAGTCAGAATTCTTAACGGCTCAAACTACATCCAAAGTATGCAGTAATTTCTCTCTTGTTGACTGAGGACTAGGAAAAATAATGGCAAGACAATGTCTTAATTGAAATAAAAAAGTATAACCACCTTTGGCAAAAAAAGATGGCTGAGAACGCAACACCACCTTGTAGTGATGCAAAACCAAATATTACATGAAAGAGCTGCCAGTTCTGACACCCTTCTTGCCAAAGTGATCTCATCATGGCAGGCTTGTCCCAAGGACTGTCAAAGAGTTGTTCCTCCCTTTGCATTCTGGGGTCCACTGCCATGGACCTGTATAGCACCCTTGCAGAAGGGCCTCAGCCAGTAAATCTGCCCAGGATTCCACACACAGGATCCAGTGCCAAAAGGCTGCATTACAAGCAAAACCCTGAGGTCCATCTTAGCCTTCTGCCATCCAAATGGATCTGATATTCAAGTCCCTTGAATCATATTCAAACCTTTTCTGGACCTTTTAATATTCTCCAGAGAACAGAATCTCAGTGTATTGTAGACTGCTGTCATGACTCTGCCATTAACAATACATACCTGTGTCTAAATTACTGCTGTATCACACCCACCAAGTACTATGTATATTGTTCATTTAACTCAACTTATCTGTGCTGAAGATGTGGTGATAGTAATGTAAAATTAATCTTTAAAAACCTTCAATAAAATTTTACTGTTTTAAAATAAATAATGGTCACTATCAACAGCTGATAGCTGCCAATCTGTAGATAAACCTGCTATCAAAAGAAAGCTTGATACCAACTGCTCAGGGCAGTATTTAGATTACAGCACTCCTTTCTGCATCAGTAGGACAGGAAGGGCACTTCAGAAAGCATATGGGCTGGCATTCAGTGAACAAAAGCCAGTCAGAAAAAAAAAGTTTCAGAGCCCTAACCTATTCAAGCAGCAAATAATGCTACAAGATATACTTACTGCCCTTCCCAGGAGATAGACTTTCTGCTGATAAACAGTTTGTAACATATATATATAAAAATCAGCATGACTTACAATGAGTGTTGGAGTGGTTATGGGTGTTGTACCAGTATTCAGATTCTTGGCTGCAGGTTGCTGCTGAACGACAACTTGTGCCTGGGTAACTGCGGGAGTGGGTGTCTGAGCCTGTGCCGTCTGCACAGCTGTTGGCTGAGCAGGCTGTTGTCCATTTTGCTGTGGCTGCTGTGGCAATGGCCCAGTTTGCTGCTGTGCTCGGACCTGCTCCAAAGCCTAGGGAACAGCATGGTAAAGTTTTTCCATGAAATATAAGTTGTGAAGACATGCACATCCCTATTATTAATTAGACAAATATAGTATACATTATTGAGATAACCCACCTTCTTTTCTTTGGCTATACGGTCAGCACGCAATGAGGCCACTTGAATTGGTGGTAATGGTTTGTCATAGTTAATGCCACTAGACAAAATAACAAAAACATGTTAAAAAAAAACAAAAAAATAAAACCATCTGGTATATGATCTAATACTCAAAAAGTACATTTTAAATGTTACCTCTCTGCAAGGACAGATGCGTGCTTGGGGTTTTTCTGGAATGGATTCATGCCAAGTCTGAAATGTACAATCCATATTAAAGATATGAAATAAGCAACATACTAAATTTAAAGACAATGAAAAAACAAAGTATATAGTTAACCACTTGCCCTCCAGAGGATTTACCCCCTTAATGACCAGGCCTCTTTTTGCTACACTAATTTAACTGATAATTGCGCAGTTATGTAATGCTGTACCCAAATGAAATTTACATCTTTTTTTCACACAAATAGAGCTTTCCTTTGGTGGTATTTGATCACCGGTGCGCTTTTTATTTTCTGCGCTATAAACAAAAAAAGACTGAAAATTTTGAAGAAAAACAATATTTTTTACTTTCGGCTATAAGAAATAAGCAGTAAATTCAAACTTAGTCATAAATTTAGGCCAAAATGTATTCTGCTACATGTTTTTGGTAAAAAAAAAAAAAATCCCAATAAGTGTATATTGACTGCTGTGTGTGAAAGTTATAGCGCCTACAAACTATGGTATAGATACTCCAATTTACACCATTTTATTTTTGCTATACAGCGCTGTGCTAGTTTAATGGACAATTGCGCGGTCATGCAATACAATACATAAATACAATTTACCGTACATAAGAAATAAAAATTGTATGTCCTTTTCCATTTTCACACAAATAGAGCTTTCTTTTGGTAGTGCCCTGTCATTTATTGAGTTACCAGTGTGCCCCATCATTGGTATTGGGAGGAAATAGTGGGGGGGGGGAGGTATTGCCCCATCATTGATGTCAGTGGGAGGAATAGTGCCCCATCAATTTTTGGCAGGGCATTTTTTTTAAACATTAGTAAAAAAATTGGTGTCAGTTTGCCCCAATTGGTAAATTTTTTTTGGTTTGGAAAAATCAGTGGCAGGAACCCATATTTTATCTGGCAGGAATGGTTTTGGTCAGGAAAAAATATCCAGGAAAAAAACAGTAAAAGTGCCCCATCATTATGTTTTTAGGCCCATCAAATGTGCCCCATTCTGAATAGTGCCCCATCGTTGGTTCAGTTAAAAATAATGTCCCAATAGTGCCCCATCGTTGGTGTCAGTGAGGAATAGTGCCCCATATTGAGGAATTGCTTTGTGTGTGGAAGTTATAGCATCATTGGTTTCAAACTATGGTATTCCTTGAGACTTGCTGACCGATGGAATTTCCAGCCAGCATATGTGGTTTACTTTCTGACTGCTCCGGCACTCAATTTTCACGCCCCCTCGCCGGTGATTCTTGCCTTTCCTGAGCTACAGTTCTGGCGACCAATCACCGGTGAGGAGGCGGTGCCGAGCAGCCGCATGAACATCCAGTGGCCGAACTGAAGGAGACGCCGCGCTTCCTAGACCGGATCGTCGTGGGACTGGATCCAGGTAAGAGACATCAGCCCCTGCAAACCCCTGTACTTAATGCCGAGCAGCCGCATGCCCCTCTAACATGTGTACCGGCGTATAAGACGACCCCTGACTTTTGAGAAGATTTTCAAGGGTCAAAAAAGTCGTCTTATACGCCGGCAAATACGGTATGTCCTTTTTTCACACAAATAGAGCTTTCTTTTGGTATTATTTGATTACCTGTGCACTTTTTATTTTTGGCGCTTTAAACAAAAAAAATTTTGAAGTAAATTTTTTTTTGGAAAAAAAACAATATTTTCTTATTTTGGTCATAAAAAATATCCAAAAAAACTAAAATGTCATCATAAATTTAGGCCAAAATGTATTCTGCTACACGTTTTTGGTTAAAAAAATCCCAATAAGTGTGTATATTGATTGCTTTGTGTGGAAGTTATAGCATCTTCAAACTATGGTATAGATAATGGAATTTCCACAGCTTTTACTTTCTGACTGCCCATCACATTTCTTGAGGTGCTAAAACACCAGGATAGTAAAAACACCCCCAAATTACCCCTTTGCGGAAAGTAGACACCCTAAGCTATCTGAGAGGCATACTGAGTCCATGGAAGATTTTTTTTTTTTTTTTCCCGCAAGTTTCTGGAAAATTACAAAACCTTTTTTTTTTTTTTACACAAAGTTGTCATTTAAATGATATATTTCTCTGCTACTTCTACCGAGTATGGGGATACCACATGTGTGAGACTTTTTGGGAGCCTAGCCACATACAGGAGCCTGAAATCTAATGACCACTTTGAAAGCCTGAAGGTGCGCAACTTCCTCATTTCACTTCCTCACTACCTATCAGTTTCGAAGGCCCTGAAATGCCAGGATAGCACCAAACCCCCCCAAATGACACCTTGTGGCAACAAACGAGATCTGAAAAATACTCACTATGCTTCTTATCAAATTCCTTGTGGTGTCTACTTTCCAAAAAGGGGTCATTTGGGGGGAAATTGGTGCTATCCTGTCATTTCTGGGCCTCCGAAACTGTGATAGGTAGTCAGGAAGTGTAATGAGGAAATAAAGCCCTTTAAAAGCCTGAAGGTGGTTATTGGATTTTGAGGTCCTGTACTTGGCTAGACTGCAAAAAAGTCTCTCACAGGTGGTGCCCCCATACTTTTGAGAAGTAGCAGAATGTATTTTGGGGAGTAATTCACATATACTAATGGCATGTGTGAGCAATAAATCATTTAACAATTTTATATAAAAAAAAAAAAAAAAAAAAAAAAAAAAAAAGTTTTTGAAATTTTCCAAAAACTTGTGGTAAAAAACAAATTATTCTATTGATTCAACATGCCTCTCTGCAAATAGTTTGGGGTGTCTACTTTCCAAAACGGGGTCGTTTTAGGGGGTGGGGGCGTTTTATGCCCAGCATTAGAAGTTTATGCCACACATCACTCACTCTTCTAACCATCTGAATATCAAGCCTTTTCTGACACTTTTTGTTCACATAAAAAACATTATATGTTTTTTTAACCGCTTGCCGCCCTGCCACTGTGTATATACGTGTGCAGGGCGGCAGTGGAGCGCAAAACCACGTTTAAAAACGGGTTCCGCGCTCCCAACACTTTCGCCGGCAGGGGGCGCGCGCTCCCGCCGACCCGCGGGTGACACTATTTGATCCAGGAGGGATCAATCATTAGATTTCAGCCAGTGATTTCTGGCTGAAATCACATGATCGGTCCCTGTCCTATCCTGTCCTGTGTTGACATACACACAGGGCAGGATATGATGTCATTCTTCTCTGCCTGGACACATTCCGTTCCAGACAGAGAAGAAGACATCCAAAAAGTGAGTACACAAGCACTACACTACAGTTAGAACACTCTAGGACACATTTAACCCCCTGATCGCCCCCCCCCCCCCCTCCAATTAACCCTTCACTGCCCTGCCCTGTCACCAGTGTTACTGATCAGTGTCGCTGGCGACTTCCGATAGAGTTAGCGCCCCTCCCAGATAGCGCCAGATTGCCCGCCAGTACACCAGTAATCCCGTTTAACCCCTTGATCGCGCCCCCCCCCCCCCCCTCCAGTTAACCCCTTCACTGCCCTGTCACCCAGTGTCACTGATCAGTGAACCAATTTTTACTGATCACTGTATCAGTGTCGCTGGCGACTTCCGATAGAGTTAGCGCCCCTCCCAGATAGCGCCAGTTTGCCCGCCAGTACACCAGTAATCCCGTTTAACCCCTTGATCGCCCCCCCCCCCTCCAGTTAACCCCTTCACTGCCCTGTCACCCAGTGTCACTGATCAGTGAACCAATTTTTACAGATCACTGTATCAGTGTCGCTGGCGACTTCCGATAGAGTTAGCGCCCCTCCCAGATAGCGCCAGTTTGCCCGCCAGTACACCAGTAATCCCGTTTAATCCCTTGATCACCCCCCCCCCCCCAGTTAACCCCTGCACTGCCCTGTCACCAGTGTCACTGATCAGTGAACCAATTTTTACTGATCACTGTATCAGTGTCGCTGGCGACTTCCGATAGAGTTAGCGCCCCTCCCAGATAGCGCCAGCTTGCCCGCCAGTACACCAGTAATCCCGTTTAACCCCTTGATCGCCCCCCCCCCCCCAGTTAACCCCTTCACTGCCCTGTCACCAGTGTCACTGATCAGTGAACCAATTTTTACTGATCACTGTATCAGTGTCGCTGGCGACTTCCGATAGTGTTAGCGCCCCTCCCAGATAGCGCCAGATTGCCCGCTAGTACACCAGTAATCCCATTTAACCCCTTAATCTCCCCCCCCCCCCCCCCAGTTAACCCCTTCACTGCCCTGTCACCAGTGTCATTGATTACAGTGAACAGATTTTTACTGATCACTGTATTAGTGTCACTGGTGACTTCCGATAGTGTTAGCGCCCCTCCTAGATAGCGCCAGTTTGCCCGCTAATGCACGGGATTTTTTTTTACCAAAAACATGTAGCAGAATACATTTTGGCTTAAATTTATGACTAACTTTGAGTTTACGATATATTTTTTATAGCTGAAAGTAGAAAAATATTGTTTTTTTTCAAAATTTTTGTAGTTTTTTTTGTTTATAGCGCAAAAAAATAAAAAGCGCACAGGTGATCAAATACCACCAAAAGAAAGCTCTATTTGTGTGAAAAAAAGGACGTAATTTTCGTTTGGGTGCAGCATTGCATGACCGCGCAATTATCATTTGAGTTAGTGCAGCGCTGTATAGCAAAAAAAAGGCATAAATTACAGTATCTATACCATAGTTTGTAGACGCTATAACTTTCACACAAAGCAATCAATATACACTTATTGGGATTTTTTTTACTAAAAACATGTAGCAGAATACATTTTGGCTTAAATTTATGACTAACTTTGAGTTTACGATATATTTTTTATAGCTGAAAGTAGAAAATATTGTTTTTTTTTCAAATTTTCGTGGTTTTTTTGTTTATAGCGCAAAAAATAAAAAGCGCACAGGTGATCAAATACCACCAAAAGAAAGCTCTATTTGTGTGAAAAAAAGGACGTAAATTTTGTTTGGGTATAGCATTGCATGACCGCGCAATTATCATTTGAATTAGTGCAGCGCCAAACAGCAAAAAAAGGCCTGGTCATTAAGGGGGGTAAATCCTCTGGGGCTCAAGTGGTTAAAGCAAACACCCTAGTGAATATAACGATGGGTGCTGCAATTTTTTATGTTACATAGTACTCGCGCAGCGATTTTTCAAATGCAATTTAAAAAAAAAATAAAATACACTTTTTTTTTACTTTTATTGCACTAAAACAATATATTGGCCAATTATTTGGTAAAATATAAAAGATGATGGTATGCCAAGTAAATAGATACCAAATATGACATGCTTTAAAACTGCCATTTTAGATTTACAGAGGAGTTAGAATTACTGCACATGCACGCTGCAACAGGGGCAATGCTCGCGCACACAAGCATGTGCGCATGGGGGGGGGGGGGGTTTGGGGGGAATTGGGGCGAGGGTGCTTTTTTTTTTTTTTTAAGTTATGTTGATTTTTTTTTTTTACACTGTCCCTTTATTTTTTTTATCACTTTTAATGCCATCACAGGGAATGCAAATATCCCTTTATAACTTCAATTGGCATTGTCACATATTCTTTTTTGAGAAATCTGGGGTCTATCAGACTCTAGATATCTCCTCTGCCCTTACATTATCTAATCAAACCAGGATCGGTGTGATCAGATGCTTTCCCAATTTACAAATGGCGCTGTTTATATCCTGCGAAACTGAAGTGATGAAATGCTCGTAGCTTCCGATTTCTTAGACTATAGAGATGATTGGCACAATTCCGGTCTCCAATCAGCTCTATGGTCAGATGGCAGAAACACTGGCTGCATTCTCAGGTTCCCCCGATGGCACGGAACTGGCCGAGAAGGCCGTGGAAGCAAGCGGGGGAGGGGGGGGGCATCATCTCCCTCTGCTTGTAAAAGCAATCCTGCAGCTAATTAGCCACTAGGATTGCGTTTACATGAAAGCCGATCGCCGGCTGAAAAAAAAAAGGTACCAGGATTATGCCTGCAGCTGTAGGCATCATCCAGGTATAACCATTCAAAGTCCAGTGATGTACCAGTACATCGCTGGTCCTTGTTGGGTATATATGCTATGTTCTATTTTTTTCATTCAGCCCACAAAAAAAAAAAAAAAAAAAAAAAAAAAGAAGAAATCTCTGTCACAAAAAGTGTGTGGTATGCCCACCATTAGAATATACTGCCCTGCATCCACTCACTTCTAATGGTGGGCACACATTAGGTCACACTTTGCCACAAGCGCCAGTTCCAAGATTGTACAAATGTCTTAATAGTGGCACACTTGAATAAAAATTGTCCACGTATAAGTGGTACCCCATATGGAAAAGGGATGACACCAAGTCCCAAACTATCTTGCCACTGCTCTCCATGTAGTCTGGGCATTCGGGGGGCTCCACGTGACTATCTTTTCCCTCGTAAATCCAAAACTTATAAGTATAGTGTGTTGCCCTCTCACAGGTCTTATACATTTTGACCCCATATCTGGCACACTTGTTGGGGAAAAATTGTTTGAATGCAAGGCGGTCAGAAAAATTAATGAGGGACTCATCAACGCAGATGTTTTACTGGGGAGTATAGACATCTGCAAATTTTTGGTTAAGGTGATGTATGGGGGGCTGAATTTTGTGGAGCCGGTCAAATTCAGGGTTACCTCGAGAACGACAGAGTGTATTGTCATTGAAATGCATAAAACACATTATACTCATATCTATGCCTGGCCATAGCAGCAGAAAACACCAAGTGATACTGCAGTGCTGGTATGTGAAAGATCAGAATTTACTAGGCCAGTGGTGCTCGCTAGTTCACCAAAAGGTAGCGTGGCACTAGTACTGGCACTCTGCTGCATATGAGAGTCATCAAAATTTACCAGCAAGTGCTAACAGAGATCAGGCCTGATTCTGCCAACACTGCGGTTTTGTGTGCAATGTATCAAGTGACAGTGACCTACTGACATTGCACTTGCTGGCGGAGAAGGGGGGGGGTGTAAGCGTAGGGGCTAAACACAGGTGCGGGCAGGTGCCGGGGCTGATCCCGCTAATACTGCGTTTTTGGGGACGCTATACTAATGTGAACGCTGGTATTGTGCTGATTTGATCAAAGATATTGATCCGTTCAGACACTACACTAGCAATGGAGGTTTATTGTGTATGAGTGTGTTTCTGGCAATCAAGGGGTTAAATGTGATTACTGGCGTACTGACAGGCAATCTGACACTATCTGGGAGGGGCGTAAAAATCACGTGCATAGATATATATATATATATACACATATACATATACACATATACATACACATACACCCTGTTCCAAATTATTATGCAAATTCTATTTAAGTGTCACAAAGATTAAATATTTTGCTTTTCAGTTTAACTCATGGATGGCATTGTGTGTCAGGGCTCTTTTGATCACTGAAAACAATCTCGGACACCTGTGATAATTAGATTGGCAGGTGAGACCAATTTAAGGAAAAACTACTAAAGGAGGGTGTTCCACATTATTAAACAGAGCACCATTTTCAAGCAATATGGAGAAGAAAAAGGATCTCTCTGCTGCCGAAAAGAGTAAAATAGTTCAATGCCTTGGACGAGGTATGAAAACATTAGATATTTCACGAAAACGTAAGTGTGATCATCGCACTATTAAGAGATTTGTGGCTGATTCAGAGTACAGACGGGTTCGTGCAGATAAAGGCACATTGAGGAAGATTTCTGCCAGATCCATGCATCGGATCAAGAGAGCAGCTGCTAAAATACCATTACCTAGCAGCAAACAGATATTTGAAGCTGCTGGTACCTCTGGAGTCCCACAGACATCAAGGTGTAGAGCCCTCCAGAGTCTTGCAACTGTGCATAAACTTTCTATTCGGCCACCACTAACCAATGCTCACAAGCAGAAACGGCTGCATTGGGCAGAAAAATACATGAAGACTAATTTTCAAACAGTCCTGTTCACTGATGAGTGTTGTGCAACCCTGGATGGTCCAGATGGATGGAGTAGTGGATGGTTGGTGGGACGGCCACCCTGTTCCAACAAGGCTGCGACGTCAGCAAGGCGGTGGTGGGGTCATGTTTTGGGCTGGAATCATGGGAACAGAGCTGGTCGGCCCCTTTAGGGTCCCCGAAGGTGTAAAGATGACCTCTGCAAAATATGTGGAGTATATGACTGACCACTTTCTTCCCTGGTACAGAAGGAAGAACTATGCTTTCTGTAATAAAATCATCTTCATGCATGACAATGCACCATCTCATGCTACAAAGAATACCTCTGCATCAATGGCTGCTATGGGGATAAAACGAGAGAAAGTCATGGTGTGGCCTCCATCCTCCCCTGACCTCAATCCTATTGAGAACCATCCTCAAGCAAAAGATCTATGAGGTTGGGAGGCAGTTTACATCCAAACAGCAGCTCTGGGAGGCTATTCTGACATCTTGCAAACAAATTCAAGCAGAAACTCCAAAAACTCACAAGTTCAATGGATGCAAGACTTGTGAAGCTGTTATCAAATAAGGGGTCCTATGTTAAAATGTAACGTGACCTGTTAAAATGTTTAAAAAGTTAAAATGTTGTTAAAAGTTTGATTGCAATAGCTTTTGATTTCAGTAAATATGCTGCAAACACAACAAATGACAATTTTCAGTTCTTTACAACCTATAAAGTGTTTTGAAACTTACTGTGCGTAATAATTTGGAACAGTGCATTGTAAGTTTTTTATGTTTAAAAAAAAATCCTGTTATTAGCAGGTTTGTTCAATAAAATTTGAATTGTACTCTTAATAGTTGATAACATGAGAATTATGCTGACTGTTATTTACATCAATTATTTAGGTAAATGAGAAAAATATCATTTGCATAATAATTTGGAACAGGGTGTATATATGTATGTGATTTTGTGAACCCGTGCCGCCCTGTAGCAGTATTTCTGCTATAGGGCGGTCAGGAAGCGATCAGGAAGCGGTTTGTGATACGACGCTGCGTTACTTTAACTGATAATTGCGCGCGGTCATGCAACGCTGAACCCAAATGAAATTTTGAGAAAAAAAAAAAAAACACAAAACAAAAAAAAAAAAACAGTATTATGGACTTTTTGCTATAAAACATGTCCCGTAAAAAAAAATGTAAAAATCTAATTTTGTCATAAATTTAGGCCAAAATGTATTCTGCGATATGTCTTTGCTAAAAAAAAAATCCCTATACGTGTACATTTATTGGTTTATCTGAAAGTTATAGCGTTTATAAATGGCGGTATAGATACTGGAATTTTTTTTTTTAAATAATAATAATGGCGGCAATCAGCGGCTTATGGCAGGACTGCGGCGGACATTCTGACACTGGGGGGGGAACTGACTTGGGGGCACTGACATCCCCAGTGACACCAATACAGTGATCTGTGCAAAAAAAAAAACACTGACACTGTACTAATGGCACTGGGGAAGAAGGGGTTAACATTTGAAGGCAATCAAAGGGTTAACTGTGTGAGGGGAGTATGTTACTAGGGGTGGGGTTTGTGTGCTTCACTGTAACACACTGATCCAGAGGCTCTGCTCAGCGTTCCGGATCAGTGTACTCAAACTGACAGGGAGGAGAGCTGCAGTGTAAACACTGAAGCCCTACTCCCTGTCAATGTTTGCCGGTAATCACCGGGCTCCGGCGGGTAAGCACCGGCCGGGACCTGGTGATTGACACCCACGGTCACGCGCCCCCTACCCAAAATGCGAAATCACGTATATATACGTGATTTTGCGCAGTAGTGCCAACCTGCCGCAGTAGATGTACTGTGGCTGGTTGGCAAGTGGTTACGTAAAAGATTAAAAAATGCATGATGTAAAAGTGTTACATAGCATCTCTGTGTGGAAAACCATAATGGTGAACCTAAATTAGCAGAACAAGACATAAAATAAAATTTAAACTTGATAAAATAGCTTAATAACAAATACATAGTGTTTACAATACTTTACCTAAAATACTATTTATATGAATTATTTATATTATAACCATAATGAAATCAATTTATGAATATTTCAAGACACTGTCTCACTTACAGAGGTTTGATTGGTGGACTTCTCTTTCCAGCTGTCATTTTCATCATATCAAAGCGAGTGGTATACAATTGCAAATGTGATTGTCCCTCATCTTGTGCATAGATTTGGCTCGTCCTTAGGGGTTTATTCTTCAGAAAAGAAATGAACACAAATCAGTTTAGACTATCATCAATGCAATCAAGTAGAGAAGTCTTTAAAAGAAACAAGCAGCTGCAAAAGAAGCAATACTGTTGCAAGTATTTGCAATTATTTTTGTTCTTTAGCAGAAGGATGCTACAACAGTTTATTTTTTCGCTGTATGCAGCAGAAAAATGTCAAGCATTTTTCTGTAACTTTAGTCCAAGCACAGCATAAGCAGGTGTTTCGACAGCCAGAACAGATTAAGTTGGTCTCCAAAAACTATTCAGACTTCCTCGCTCTTACAGGGCTAAGGAGTCGAGCTGGAGACATTTCTGACTTACAGCCCTAGCCAAAAGTTTTGAGAATGATACAAATATTAATTTACACAAAGTCACTGATGCTTTAGTGTTTTTAGATCTTTGTCAGATATTACTATGGTATGCTGAAGTATAATTACAAGCATTTCATAAGTGTCAAAAGCTTTTATTGATAATTACATTAAGTTTATGCAAAGAGTTAATATTGGCAGTCTTTTTCAAGACCTCTGCAATTCGCCCTGGCATACTGTCAATCAACTTCTGGGCCACATCCTGACTGATTGCAGCCCATTCTTGCATAATCAATGCATGGAGTTTTTCAGAATCTGTGAGGGTATTTTGTTCACCCGCCATTTGAGGACTGACCACACGTTCTCAATGGGATTAAGGTCTGGGGAGTTTCCAGGCCATGAACCCAAAATTACAATGTTTTGTTCCCCAAACCACTTAGTTTCCACGTTTGCCTTATGGCAAGGTGCTCCATCATGCTGGAAAAGGCATTTTTCTTCACCAAACTGTTCTTGGATGGTTGGGTGAAGTTGAACTCGGAGGATGTTTTAGTACCATTCTTTATTCATGGCTTTGTTCTTAGCAACATTGTGAGTGAGCCCACTCCCTTGACTGAGAAGCAACCCCACACGAATGCTCTCAGAATGCTTTACTGTTGGCATGACATAGAACTGATGGTGAAGACATGTTTTTACCACCCCACCCCCAAACACACCCCCTTCAGCTGCAATGGCCAGGGGCATACACATGCCTCAGCTGCAGCAGGAGTTATACGCCCTGTCATGGTCGGCGGGAGTAGCACCTGCCAAGCATGACCCATTTAAGTGAATGAGACCTCTCTGCAAGTGACCCGCAACCTTGTGCAGTACAGTAGTTAAAGCAGGCAGCATTGTGTTGCTTTCTCACCACCTGCTTTAACCAACTGGACCCCGCAGAAGCATACAGTTGCAGAATGCTCGCAGAGTGGAGCCATTTATTTCAGTGGGTCTGATTGGCAGCCGGTAGCACCCACCAAAAGCAACATGGGGTTTAATTCCTGGTGCAGCTGGTCACGGGGCGGAGCCTAACTATGGCGGCAGCGGAGAGCTCGTGATAGGAGCTCCCGGCCGGAGCCCCTCCGACCGACCCCCTTGTACCTATCTGATCCACAAAATGCCCCTGTAATATGGAGCCCTAGAAGCCTGAGACCTACCTCGGTCTGGCGGGCTCCCTTGGCTGAGTGGCGGCCTGCATGAGGAAGAGCTGGGGAACGGAGATCATCTGAGAGAGACGGGGACGCTGAACGTGGTTGCCGGGAAACAAAGAGGCGCGGCCGGGACATGTGACCGGCCGCAGTGTATCCCTGGGAGCGAGGAAGCCGGCTGGCCGGCTGGAGGCTGACGGAGGAACAGGAGAGATACCGTCCTGCTGGACGACTAGCCACTGCTGGAGTCCGATGAGGGTGAACTGTGAAGAACTGCCTGCACAATAAGAAAATGGAGGAAAGTCCTGGAGGGTCCCCTGAGAACAAGAGAGTTGACCTGCTGGAGAATTGGAGCCTGGAGCAGTCTCGTGAGAGGAGCAGGGAGGGTGAGTGACTCCGGCTGTGACCTCAAACATAAAAACTGTGCAGATTTGGGAGAGACTGTGTCGAGCTGAAGGAGGGCAGAGAGTGAGAGAAAAGGGGGGGGGGGGCAGAGAATATAAAGAATATAAAGAAGGAGAAGAACGTACGGTGTAGGCAGGAGGGAGGGGGGGGGGGGGGAGGGGGGAGAGGGGGGGGGGGGGGGGGGGGAGGGGGGAGAGGGGGGGGAGGGGGGGAGAAAAAGTTAGTAGGATAAAAACGCTCCATAGGAATAAGAAAGAGGAAAGCAAGGAGGGAAAAGGGGTTGGGAGGAAAAGAGTAAGATGGAAGAAATCCAATATATAACCTATAATGTAAAAGGGTTAAGCTGCCCAGGAAAGAGATTTAGGTTATTTAAAGAATTACAACATAGACAATCTTCAGTGGTATTCCTGCAAGAAACACACCTAGAGATAGAGTCGAAGGTTAGATTGAGGACCAGATATTTTCCAACATGGTTCTATGCGGACTCACCAATTAAAAGAGCAAAAGGAGTTGCTATAGGCTTCGCCAAAAATATAAGGTTTGAGGTGGAGGATAGATTAACAGATCTGGAGGGAAGGTTTCTGTTTTTGAGAGGTAGACTACAGGGAATTGAGTGCACAATAGCAAATATATACAGTCCAAATAAGAAGCCGGAGACATTCATGAGAGAAGTGTTGAAGAGACTGATGGACTTTAAAAGAGGGTGTATGATCGTAGCGGGAGACTTTAACCTCTGTATGGATCTGCGAATGGACACTAACTCTGGTATGCGGAGAGAGGAAAGCAAGTCCTTGAGAAGGTTAAAGAAACTGATGCATGAGTGTCAACTGGTGGATATCTGGAGAATTAGGAATATGAAGGAGAGAGATTATACTTTCTTTTCGCATGTACATGAGACTTATTCTAGACTAGATTACATATTAGTAGAACATCAAATGATAGAGTGGGTGGGGGGAAGTAAAAATAGGAGAAAGCACTCTGTCGGATCATGCCCCGGTTGCAATGAAGTTAAAATGGGGCAGAGAGGAGAGAGAGGGGTATGTGTGGCGGATGAATGAGGCACTCCTCATGGATGAAGAGACTGGACAAAGAATCGAGAAGGAAATTGAATGGTTTTTTGAAGAGAATGAGACAGAGGATGTGTCGGTTGCAACGGTGTGGGAAGCACATAAAGCCTACATCAGAGGTCTTCTCATTGCAATAGGGGCAAAAAAGAAAAAAGAAAGGAGAGAAAAGATAAACAGATTATTAAATGAAATATATGATCTTGAACAGGTGCACAAAAGGGAAAGATCTAAGGAGATAATGCAGCTGTTAATAAAGAAGAAAGAAGAATTAGAGAAAGTAATGGAGGAAGAAAAAAGAAGAGTCTTTAATAAAATAATATGTGAAAGGTATAGATGGGGAGATAGGCTGGGAAAGTATTTAATGAGAACTTTAAGAAAGAAGAAAAATAGAAATTATATTGAGAAAATAAGAAATCCCAAGGGGGAATTTGTACACTCAACCAAGGATATTGCCAGAGTATTTAAAGAGTATTATAATGGCCTGTATAATATCATACCCCAGGACATGTTTAAGAAAACGGAAACAGTAAATAGAGGGAAAAGGAAGATATACCTAGAGGACGCAGGCCTACCGAAATTAAGAGAAATACAACTGAACTCCTTAGAGGAAGAAATAACTTCAGAGGAAATAGAAATAGCGTTAAAAAGTATGGCGGGAGGGAACAGTCCGGGTCCGGATGGATATACGGTAAAATATTATAAAAAATATAAAGAGCTTTTAATACCCAAGATGAAGATCTATATGAACGCCTTGGGGAACGGGTTGGAGATGAGGGGAGAATCTTTACAGGCCAATATAGTACTGATACAGAAGGAGGATAAAGACCCCTCGCAATGTGCAAGTTATCGACCAATAGCGCTATTGAATGTAGACACTAAAATATTTGCAAAGGTGCTGGCAAATAGAATAAAAGAACTGATGCCAGAGTGGATACACAGAGATCAGGTGGGGTTTGTCCCGGGAAGAGAGGGTAGAGATAATGCTCTGAGATCACTGTTGCTCATCCACGAGGGTAAAAAAAGGGAAAACCCCAATGATACTGATGTCGATAGATGCTGAGAAGGCATTCGACAGAGTAAGTTGGGGTTTTATGATGGATACCCTGGAAGCGTTAGGATTGGGAGATAGAATGAGAGGGTGGATTGGAGAGTTATATAGAGGGCCTACCGCTACCTAAATGGAGGAAGATCAGAGCAGTTAAAGATGTCAAATGGTACAAGACAGGGATGTCCATTGTCTCCATTGCTGTATGTGTTATCACTGGAGCCCTTGTTGTCTAGGATTAGGAAGAATATAGATATAAAAGGAATAAAGATAGGAGATCGAGAACATAAGGTAGTGGCATATGAGGACGATCTGATGTTTTATGTTGGAATCCACAGAACATCACTTGCAAATTTAATGAAAGCATTGAGGGAGTATGGAGAACTGTCAAACCTGAAAATTAACCCGACAAAGACTGAAATCTTAAATATAAACCTTAAAAATAGTGAAAAAGAAAAATTACAAGAGGAATTTCCTTTCCTTTGGAGAGATAAAGAATTAAAATATTTAGGAATAAAACTATCAACCTCAACTAAGAACCTATATAAAGCCAATTATATAGCATTATTCAATGAGATCAAGGAGGAGCTCAGGAGGGTGGGAAATGGAAATCCTTCATGGATAGGGCGCATAAACCTGATAAAGATGGTAATTGTCCCCAAAGTATTATACAAATTTCAAATGATTCCAATCAAACTCCCAGAGGCATATTTCAAAGAACTCAGGAAAATGATAATAAAATATATATGGAGAAATAAAAAACCTAGAATAGGTTATGAGACGTTGATTAGAAGTAAAGAGAGAGGAGGATTGGGAGTACCAGATTTTAAGAGATATTATAGAGCGGGGATTATCGCTAGAATCTTTGACTGGATCCATAATCCGGAGAAAAGTTGGGTTAAAATCGAGAAAGCACTGAGTGGAATAAGTTTAAGTAAAAGTATTTGGGTACCGGCACAATATAGGGAATTCGAGGAGAGCACTA